CCTTGAAAGTGGACAAAACCGGCTTTTTTGACAAAACGTGTTTAGGGTTCAGATCGCGCTATATGTGGAGAATAATGCTCGGCAACCAGCTCTTTTTTTTTAAGTGGCTTTATATATATATATATATATATACACGCACAGTGGTGTGAAAAAGTGTTGGCCCCCTTCCTGATTTCTTTGCATATTTGTCACACTTTAATGTTTCAGATCATCAAACAAATTTTAATATTAGTAAAAGATAACACAAGTGAACACAACATGCAGTTTTTAAATGAAGGTTTTTATTATTAAGGGAAAACAAAATCCAAAACTACATGGCCCTGTGTGAAAAAGTCTTGTGTTCATGAAGCAGAAAAATTATTATTGAGACTAAAACCAGCAACTTTATGGTTGCCAAGCCACTCCCTACTAAGTATATTTTTTGGTTTCCACTTTCCAGTAAAATATCAAAAAATTCTTGAAACAAATTCACTTGAGAAACAACACTACATAAGATATTAGGACTTGTTTTCGGAGAATGTACCTTTGTGTTCACCAATGTGTTCTTTGTGTAGCCTTGTTTATTGTGTAGTGTACTTTTCACTTGTTTCTTGTTGTAGGCCTATGTATGTATAATAATATTAATAGTAATAAATATCAAATCCGCCAGTGTTTTGAGGAAAAAACTCACATACCTATACATTTCTGTTTTTGTAAGTAATTAAAAAAATTTTTTAAAGCCCCAAGTACTTCGGTTTACTACTGACGCAAATGTCATCATCATCAGCACAGTACGTGCATAGTAACAGTGCTTATGGTATATGCATGCTCAGCTAGCTTGCACATGCGCCTTGATGTTTTTTTTATGCACCAATTAGTTTGTCTACAATGTGGCAACACTGCCTTGGCCCGTTTTTTTACAGTCGACAAAAAATCAGATGAGACGGAACAACGAACTAGGCAACTGGAGAAGGCAGCAACAATGGATGCCTGCATTGAGGAACGCTTGTACATTCCAACCATAGACTGTAAAAAAAGATGGACGATGCGTCTCCTAGCCTATTCCTTCCACTATAGAAAAGTGAAGCCAAAGCATCTCAGCATGGCCGCTGCCATCTTGAGTAAATGACGTCATTTGGAGCCGAGTCTGCGCAGTAGAGTCGTGAGGTGGAGCCGCGGAATCAAACTCCCGCAGACCCAATCAACCATAACGACACGCCCCGTTTTTATAGCATCAAATTACTAGCTAAAATCAAACTTATCACAAAAACGAACAATTGAACATATATCAGCGTGATAACAACTACCTTAAATACCCAAAACCATCTTTCGGAAAATTGTATTGGAAGTGTAATACATTTTTTTATTTTGACTCAAGTCCCATTTGTTTACATGGAGAGGGCGGGGCTTATGACCTGTACTGCAGCCAGCCACCAGGGGGCGATCACAGAGCCCACAGCTTCACTTTTCAGGACGTGTGAGGCACACCCGGTTCCAACACTATGGCAAGCCAGAAATTTTTTTCTTGACATCAGCAATGACGTCATCACTCGCAGAAATCGAATTCTTGTTATCAGGAATTAAATTTCACCTGTAAAATTATTATTGATATCAAGAATTTATATCCTGAATGGCAATAGGCAAGCCTGCTAATGAATAAAAGTCAAACCGGCTTGCCATACAACACAGTAGGTGATGATAATGCACCTTACCCTAGTGCCACCCACCATAAAACCTAAGATGAAAAACAAGAAGACGAGTGCTTGTGTGAGAGAGGTTTAAGATAGCCTACATTCGCAACTCAAGTTTAAACGAGTACAAAAGCATTTTATCTGTGATAACTTTTGGAGAGAAATAGCGCAGACAAGTATGAAACTTTCTAGTGCGCATGTGTCGAGAGTCTGTGCTCGTGCACGCACGCAATCAAATGGAGTAAACTTTGAGAAAGCTGTGCGTTGACAAGAGACTGAAGATTTAAAGGAGAATCCTATGGAATAAAATCGCTGTCAAAAATAATCGTACGTAATTCAAAGCATTTGTGTGTCATTTTTCAGCAGAAAGATTTCTAGAGATATAGGGTTTGAAGTGTGAAGACATTAGGAAGAGTCTCAATACAGAGTCAGTTGTGCGTTTGCCTTTATGCTAAGCATTCCCGTGAAGTATACTTTGGGCTTTAGATGGTTGTGTGTGTGTGTGTGTGTGTGTTGTAAGGGAGGAAGAAGGAAGGAAGGGAAGTCATATGGTGAACAGGATTATTGCAGGTCAGATTTAAATCCCCTCTCCCGCGTGAGTTGAGTCAGTTTAGACGCCAGATTGAATTTTATGCGCATTAAAACCAGTCTGTGATGGACAGACTTACAGTGACTGAAGAAAGGTCCTAAATCAGGTAATTTTCACAACTTTCAAAACTGTTTTATTAAGTGTTATGTCCCAGTAAGTGCTGGTCCTGTGTTTTTTGAGTGCCTTGTGGGGGACTGGCTATGATGTGACTGTGCTCACTTGAGCGGCTGTTATCCAATTGTTTTTTGTTACGTTATTTAGTTTGCATCGATTTCAGACCTTGAGCTTACAGTCCCCTGTCATGCACGCTTTCACTACTGACTACTGTTTGAACATTTTTTGTTAATTATGATGTTTCGTTGAATAAACTACTTCCTTCGCTACTTGCCCATCCATGTTGGCTCCCGTTCATGTTGCAGTTGTGAGCTGGTTGTAAACATGTTTTTGTCTAGTGATTTTTTTTTCTTTCAGAAAGATATTATGTCAGCTGAACAGACAGCACTACTCTGAAGTATACTGAGCTCTGACTTCAGTCTTTCGTGTTTGTCAGCACTTGAGTGTAGTTTTCTCAGAGGCTTTACTTGTGACCTGCAGTTACTAAATAGCATTCCCAGTGAGGACATCCAGCACTACTGCCTGTCACTGCATTGTTGTTGTTCTCTGGGCACAGCGGGCATCATCACGGGCATCACATTTAGGCGGAACAAGATCTCATCATCACTAGCCTCTTTTGTCCCATTTGTGTCTCCCCCAGGCCCCAACAGACAGACCCCTGTCTCTGTCTTATCTGGTAGCTCCCATCATTCCCTGCGTCTGGTGTCTCAGTGCCAGTGGTGGGCACAGTCTTAGCAGTAATTGGCTGCTCTCACCCACCGGGGTGATGGATTATTATCGGAGTGAATAGCTGAACACATTAAGGATAGAATGGCTCATAAACCCACATGCTTATCTTCCCGACCCATCTCAGAGGGGGAAGGGGAGCCATCCTTTCAACATGCCATCATAGGCTGTCATTATTATGGAAAGGCCTCTATTCATGCTTACAAAGTCTTTTGTTCACTGTTTCAAAACCTCTTTATCGGTCTGACATGAAAGCTTCAGAATAACTTTTATCGATTATGTTTTGCCCAAGCAGATGTTTAGCACTGTGGAAAGAAATGAAAGCATGGAATAACACTTTTTAAGTAACTTGATCAGTCTTGAAGGACATCAGGAGAGACGTTTGCTGGTATTATCAGGGTGTGAGATCAGGGACTATTATCAGGAAGCGATTGCTGGCGATGCCATTATTAGTGAGTGTCTCAGATTTTTGAGAAGAGGCACTAGATTAAAGGGAAAGATTTTGAATGTAGGGTGAATCGTGTACAGGACGTCACGTTTGTGAAGTTTTGTGGTCTGGACAGGACATTAGTGGCCGGCACAGACTCTGATGTCATTATAAACATCCTTTAAAGTGGTTTAGATCCTGATGATAAATGTGGATTCATCCTCAGACTTTCATATAATGTCATTTGAGGTTTAGTGATGCATTGGGCCGAAACTAAAATGTTATTAACAGAAGAGAGAAGCTTGTGCGCTTATTGTCTGGTTGAATTTCTAACATTGTTTTCTTTCTTTACGGATCAAATGTGTACTAAATGATGTGAACCAGCAGAGGGCAAG